TTTATTAGTGTATTCGCACTAGGTCACTTGGTAACGTGTTGCTTTATAAATCAAATAACGAATTTCCTTTTAGTAAAAAACTGGAAAATTGATCTAATCGAAATTAAAAATTTTGATTAGGGTCCAGTAGAGTTGGGCATCTCAGCACTAAGTATAATGGTAATAATCATCATATTTTTTGATTTGATAGAACCGATTGTTAATTAACTCAGTGGGTCAAATGTTTTCTGGTAATCCAAGTTATTTGTGACATTGCAAGCCTGTGATGATTAGTATCCTGTTAAGTATTTACCGTGTTACTACTATTGCCGAAACTGTATGATGCTATTCATCATGCACTACATGATCCCATCTTAGTTACAAATACAAGATGCTAAAACAGGCCGGTTTTAAGGTTAATTTTGACCAGCATTAAAGAAAATAGCTTTACTAAAGATGGGTTTCATGCGCATTTTATCCCATCAAAATTTCTCTCGGTCGTTTTTGCCTTTTTTTTCATCATGCGATATCATGCGCATGAAACAATTCGTGCGCATTAATGTGCATTCATGCGCATTTTATTATAAAATGCGCATTTTTCCCATCACTAAGCTTTACGTAAATTATTTATTCAGACGCTACTACGTATGTTAATTAACATATGTAGTTCAATAACTTTATTTTGTATGCAAATATCGGTATATATTATAGCTCATACAGAAAGAATTTTCATAGGGCAATTCTGTCCTGGTCGGTTGGTCTGGCATTAACAAATTTACCCGAGATCATTTTAGTGCTGCCAAGGCAAAACCTGTAAGTAAATTATCAGCGTGGAGAACTTAACCTTGGGAGAATTATAATATTACGTATTAGATCTCATATACGATCAGTGCTTTGGTCATTTCTAATCTTATTTATTTTAAATAACAACACTAATTGTATATATGATTTAATACGCAATATTAATATTATCCCATGGTTAAGTTAGCCATAATGATAACTAAATATTTATTTACAGGTTTTGCCTTGACAGCACTCACTTATAGTGCAAAAAATTCCGCATGATAGTTTTGTCACAGCGACGGGAGTTACTTATTGTAATAGCGACCATGATCAGTGTCTAAAATTCGAATGTGCGGATCCAATCAAATCGTCTTATTTTTGAAATCAAACGATTTGATTGGATCCGCACATTCGAATTTTAGACACTGACCATGGAATCTTGGAAGTTTACCCTTACCTCGGATAATCAATTTAACATATTGAGAGTTAATCAAGTAAATGGTTTACATAAGGGAATTTTATAATGGGAGGGACATATATATATATAGTTTTCTTACAAATTTGTAAACTACATTGCCTAACAAACAATATTTTAACTAATTAGTGGTATAATGTTACATTTGTGGCATTAGTAAATGGTGCTGCGACAGCGCTTGATACCCTTTGCTCGCAAGCTTATACATCTGGCGATGTGAAAATGATGGGAGTATATTTACAACGTGCTATTATAATAGAATTGTTAGGATTTATCCCGATCGCTTGTATTTGGTGGGAATCAGAACAAATCCTGATCTTCATAGGCCAATCACCTGAAATTTCTTCAAAAACTGGTTTATATCTCAGATATTTATTAATTGGAGCACCTCCATACTTATTGTTTGAAAATTTGAAGAGATATTTACAAGCCCAAGGTAACATAAATCAAACAATATTAATTAATTAATATAAAAGAATTAATTAACAAATGAATCTATGCATAGGGATAATGAAAGCTAGTACATATGTATTAATAATCTGTTGTTTAATTGATATATGCTTAAATTTTATGCTGGTTTTGTATCAACCGCTATCGCTTGGTTTTATTGGAGCACCTATTTCCACATCTATAACCTCTTGGTTCATGTTTTTCTTTCTTGTCATGTATATTAAATACATTGACGGATATCAAGCCTGGGGTGGA